AAGCGACATCAAAAAAGTTGAAGGAAACCATCCCTACCACATTTCATGTTACACAAGAAACGTGATCGTACTGGTATTAAGGTGTCAGGCTATATTATATTTTATCCACGTTTACTATAAATACGGCAAATGAATAAAAGATGGCGTTGCATTAAATATTTATATTTAATTACTTCAAAGGCTCTCTTAACGATAAATAATATCTAAATATCGAGACAATCTAGAAGCTTAACTTATAAAATGTGAGTAAATAAATTTACATATTATATTACTATATTCGGACGGATTATGAATATTTTTGTTCAAACTGATGATTTTTAAAGTAAAGTTTCGTCAAAGATTGAAAAATGATTCATGTCACCAGATTAGATTATTCATTGCTACGAATCTTTAGCGAAGCCTTACATTAATAAGCATTAGCTATTAAATAATATTATTATACCTTACATTTAAATGCTTGGTATAAGCAACCGTAGACAGTTTTAAACCATTTATGTGGACTTTTAATATAAATAAGTACATTGTTTAATAGTTTTGATTAAGTATTAAGCAATATGCTTTTCTTCAATTTATTTCTTAAAGACTATAAAAAAAAAGAGTATTTACGTTTTTTAAAAGTATTATTATTACAAAGCCGGTACTTCAATCAATCAGGTTGCTTTAATATAAAAATCTCAGGAGATCAAAATTTCAAATTTAATGATAAATCATGTTCTATGGTATGGGTGTAAAATACCATTTTAAAATCCGTACCATACTGATCCGGTGTTATGTATCATTGGTCAAGAATTATAGCAGATTATTATATTATGGGTAAATAGGCACTGTGCGTTCACATTAGAGTTGCAGGTGAAACTAATTAATTTCACCAGGAAACTGGTGCACCATCGGAGCACCGTTGAAGATTAGTTTCATTTATAACTCTAGTTTGACCATCGGTGCACCATTGAAGATTAGTTTCACCTGCAACTCTAGTTCACATATATAATTTTGGCAGCCTTTACGCATGGACATAAAGAATATTCCGAACAAAAAGTTTTCTAGGTATAGCGTAAATACGCATATGATGTCTTATGCATTATTATAATGAATCCAAAAAAATATGATATTGTATCCAGTTGTAAAAGATGGTCTTTTATATGTAAAGATTTTCAAGTTAAGGCGGATTGAAGTATTATTCGATTTGGACAAGCACATAGTCTTTTCCATGTTGTTAGATTGAATCAAACATTCATTTCCGTCTCAATCACTCGAGCTATTATCCAAAGATGAAATTCTTTTTGAACAATGGCTTTTTATCCATTTTGGCAATTATTATCAAAAACTTATCGTGTAGGAAAAACAAATATTGATGTGATTAGGACTTTGCAACAAAAAATAATCCCTCGGACTAGTAATTTGCAAATTTCCGATTATATGTTTTTATTAACGGAAACTCCTAATTTATTCAACGTTATATGGAACTTCTTTATTTTTTTCTGAAGGTCATCATACTATTAATTATGACAACTGTTTAGAAAAAAAAAATTGAGGAAATCGAGGCTCTAATTTTATACAAGAAATCTGTACCATTTCTGCCAAGAAAATTAGATGATTCGCAAACTAGTTCACCGGAAGAGTATCATCGAAAGATGGACATGAAAATAATCCTCAACTTTTTGTAATTGCTAGATAACTTTGATCCGTAAAGACTTAATGCTTTTATAGAAAGTAATTGGATACTTTGAAATCTGTGAGAACATTAATTATTTTGCGTCTAGCATCGCGTGATTAGTTTATATCATGCTACTTACAATGGGTCGAAGCATCTAGTTTTTCTAAAAATTGCTACTGCACAGAAAATATTTCGAATTTTATAAAAACTATACTTAATAGGTAAATCCTACATAGGGCTGTAGGACTAGATAATATTTTTACGAAAATTCGGAATACTTGTTGAAGATTAGCAATTTCGATTATCTTTAGATTATTTGCGCTGTACTCATTATAAAATAATGAGTTTACTCTTCACTACACAAATCTGTGAAGTGATTGTCTTTACTTGTATCATATAAATAAGCTGCATGAACGAATCTCTATGCGCTGTTTGAGACAATATTAATATAATCTCTTTATTTTTAGATTTAATTATTTCCATCTAAATTGTCACAATTATGAATCAAGCAACCAACATTCAACCACAAAATAATCGACATCAAAGGCTTCCAAATATTGGTGGATCCCAAAGAACTCAAAGGACTCAACGTAATGCAAATCTATCCATCAATGCAACGATATAATGAATTAATTGAAGGAGGGAATCCATTTGGCGGATTACGGAGTTCAGACACCCCAATACAAAACGCTGAATTCCAAACTGTGTTGTTTTGGGGATTTTCCTTCACATAGGTTAAATTAAAAAGAATATCATTTATGCATATAAGATATTTTAAGATAAAATAGATATAATTTTTAAATGCTAATATGTGCGAATGTAATAAAGTATTGGTTAGCAGAATTTCTGCTTATACACATACGGATCAGGGCTAAATACTACCGTGATCTTAATAAAGTAACCGAATTTATTTTTATTAAAAAAAATCCATCATTGTGAGATAACATAACCGAATTTATTTTTTTTTAAAAAAAATCCATCATTATGAGATAACACAGTATATTATTTTACTTTACTGATGAATTGACGAGCACAAATCTTTATCAAGAGGACCTGATTTCTTTAAAAGTCGAACAACAGAATCTCGGAATTGTCCTTCTTAATAAATATAAAAATCATGAGGTTTATAGATACGTTACAAAATACAATAGAAAATCTGGTTTGTTGCTGATGTATAGGTATGAAATTATATCTTTTGTGAAGGCGATTACACTGGCAGGAAATTATTGTTTAAATACGGGATCTGTAACTTTCCATAACTTTTTGAAACGAAAGAAAATTAAGCTATAACGGAAAAACTCATCTCCAGAGGTATTATATCAGACAGTTTTCTTTCTCTCGTGAATACTACTAATAACTTTGCTTTAGATCATTACTAGTTTGTCATGTTTATCTGCCATATCTTTTCGCACATTTCTTGCACACCACTTCAACGATATGTTAGTATTTTCATCCTGCGTACATCTATTTACCCATCAAGCTATCTGACGATCCAAGCATACCCGACCAATCAAAATTCATCATGGGTTAAGATACGTGTAAACAATTTTTCGCATGTTTTTAAGATTTTGAGCGAAGTTTTCTCGATAAATACCTGGCCAAATTCAATAAAATTTTTATTTTAGTTCTACATATTCGTATAATTAAATTAAAAAATTTATCGAATTTTGTAAGATGTGTCGAGAAAACTTCATTCAAAGTTTAGAATCAGTTTCGTCTTGGTAAATTAAGTCGTTTGAATCATTTAAAACTTTGAGCACAGATTTCTCAATAACCACCTGACCAAATTCAATGATAATTTTTTTGTTTTCATCCTACGAATGTGTAGGATTAAAATAAAAAAATCATCAAGTTGGTCTGGTAATTATCGAGAAACATTCGCTCAAGGTTTTAAAAAATTCAAAAGCACTTAATTTACTTATGGACGAAACTGATTCTTTCTAAGCTTTGAGCGAAGCTTTCTTGACACATACTTTACAAAATTTTATGAATTTCTTTATTTATACGAATATATAGAATTAAAATAAAAAATTTTTTGAATATGGTCAGGTATATATTTAGAAAACTTCGTTCAAAATCTTAAAAACATGCAAAAAATTGTTTACACGTATCTTAACCTGTGAAGAATTTTGATTGGTCGGGTATGCTTGGATCGTCAGGCTGCGGTGTGACACGATTTTTTACACAGTGAAAAATTAAAATCACGTGCATTAAACAATTGTTTACATCACATGTTACATATTTAAAAAATTGATCTACATTATTTGTCACACAGAGTACTATAGTCAGCGCCGTACGTACGGTACGCTTTTCATCTTTTGGTAATATCTTGTTTTTTTTTAGTTTTACTGATTTCCTATTTTTTGTCTTCTGAAAAAATTATCGCCTTTACTTATATAGGGATCGCTAAGCGGGTTTACCTTTTTGGTGTCTACTTTGGGAAACTCCAGATTCTAAAAAAAGCAAAATACAATACAAGTAACTCTCGATATAAGAAACCTTTGATAAGAAACTCTCGATATAAGAAAGCTTTTTGCAAGTCCCAATTAAAAATTCTATGATAAAAAGCTCTTGATATAAGAAAATTCGATATAAGAAAGGTTTTGACTGGACCCGGCAACTTTCTTATATCAAGATTCACTTGTAATAAATTTCCTCATAGTTTACTATGGTTTTTCACTGGTTCACTGGCGAATCACGGATTAATTCTGTAATTCGACATGAGACTATGCTAGAGATCTACATCATTTGATAAATATAGGAACCCATCATATAATTCTGGTCAAATTTGCAAATAATTTAGCCAGATCTAAACCGTGAGTCCAATCAAATTCAATTTTTGGATACGTCAAAACAATCTGGAAAATTCCACCAGAATTAGATTGTTTTGACAAAGATATGATGCCTCTATAGCAAAAATAAACCAATATCGATATATAATTATTTCCTATATGGATATTTGATTAAATAATCGATTAAATAATTTATCAGCTATTGCCGGCTATTTAGCCGTTGACTAAGCCGTAGCTTAGTCGACTATGAGTGACTAGCCGATAATAACGCATAAAACAATCTGTGCTCAATTTTTGGTCATGTGATTGATGATCATAACTTCGCTAAAATAAAATTTTAACCATGATATCCAACAACCACCTGAACAAATTCGATAAACTTTTTTTTTTATTTGAATTCTATAGACTAATATGAACCGAATAAAAAAGGTACATTGAATTTGGTCAGGTGGTTGGCGAAATAACTTTCTCAAAGTTTGAGCAACTTTAATTTTAATAGGTAGATTGATTTTTTTATAAAAATTTTGAATGTAAATATCTTGTCTATCAGCTGACTAAATTTGATAAAAGTTTTTTTTATTTGAATTCTATGAATCCATAGAGTTCAAATAAAAATTGTCGTGGCTGATGCTGAAATTTTGACTTATTTTATTATGAAATTTTAAAAAATTTTCGGGCCTTTTCGTTAGGGTTTTTTTTTAGTGTTAGGTTAGGGTTTGAGGGTAGAGTTGTTAGTAAAAAAGTATATGTGAATTTTAGTAGGTATTATAGATTTAAATTGGGACCCTAAATTTCAGCATCAGCCAATTTCAGCATCAGCCGCAATAAAAATTCTTCATAAAATTCAATCAAGTGAGATAGAGATATGTTTGCTCAAAGTTAAAGAAAAAATCGAACCGTCCACCAAAATAGAAGCTACGCCAAATTTTTTCAAAACTTGAGTGAAAATATTTCAACAACCGGCTGATTAATTTGACGATTTTTTTTTTTGAATTCTAGAAATTCTTAAAATTCAAACAAAAAAAAGGGTCATTAAATTTAATAATTTAATAGGGTAAGGCCGTACCAATTTAATTCGGTGGTTTACATCTAGTGATGGGCAAATTGCGGTTTTTTTAAAAATCCTGCGCGGGATGCGGGATCACGCGCGGGATTCACGGGATTGAGTAGAGTTTTGAATTTCTCACGAATAATAAAAATATATATAAAGATCATCACTGTGAATATAATTTCTTGTAATTTTATAAGTTAAAGATTAAATTAATTAATTAACTAACTAATTAATAATACTTATAATAATATTTAATAAAATAAAAATTAAGTATAAAATACAGTTAATGTAATATGCTTACTAATTAGAAATTGGCCCACTTATGTTAATGCAGGCCGGATGATATATTAATGTAGGCCAGATAATGTGCTAACGCAGGCCAGATAATCTTATATTAAAAATCCCGCGCGGGATCCTGCGCGGGATCACGCGCGGATCCCGCGCGTTGCCCATCTCATTTACATCACATTCCTTTCTCAAAAGAGGGGGGAAAGGATGAAAAAATGGACCAACACAGTAAATTTTAATATATTTTTTTGATCGGAATTATCGATTTGACCTTGCTCGTCTTTATGATTGTTCATTTTCTCTTCGGAATTTTTCGGATCCTAATCTTAATTCCTCCCGGCATTATGCTCTCCAGCCAAAATAATATATATATTTATCTCGATTTTTTTTTACTAAAAGAGAGAGGGATAATGTAAGCCACCGAATTAAGTTGGTCCGGCCCAATCGTAAAAACAAATTTTTAAAAAATCAAACCGTATATCAAATGAGAACAGTTGAATTTTTGAGTGAAAATATCCCCATAAGCATCTAACAAAATTCGAAGTATTTAAATTCTATGGACTTATAGAATTTAAATAAAAAAATTTTCATCGAATTTAATCAACTGGTTGTCAAGATATCTTGCTCAAAACTTTGAAAAAAATTAAATTACCTATCAAAAATTAAAATTGCGCTAAATATTCTCAACTTTCAAGTAAATATTTCTCGACAACCACCTGACCAAATTCAATGAAACCTTTTTTTTATTTATCATACCAACCCTTAGAATTCAAATAAGAAGGTTTTATCGAGTGGCCATTGAGATATCTTGATTTGAAGTTTTAAATTTTTTATTTTGATGGAAATTATGATCTTCACGTGACTAAAACCGAGCAGATTTTTTTATGCGAAGATTTACAGTAGAAGTCATGCCAAATTTGATGCATACTAACTTGACCATACACATATTGTGGTCGCAATACAGTAAGTTCTGTAACAGAATTTTTTACAATAACCATAATCGAATCTATGATAATTTAATAAAAACTAACTAGACTTAACAATTATGCATACTGTATCAGTAAGTTACCGTATTTATCGGACGTGGGTACCCGGGTATTTACATATATTGAGCTTTGTACACGGGTACTTTACACTATATTGAACAATATATTTTACTATATATACCATACTTATGTACCCCGGGTATAAATTAGAGTTGCAGGTGAAACTAATTAATCTCATCAGGAAAACTGGTGCATCGTTGAAGATTAGTTTCATCTATAACTCTAGTTTCACTATCGGTGCACCAGTTTTACCAGTTTCATCTGGTGCACCATTGAAGATTAGGTTCACCTGCGACTCTAGTATAAATCACCATCCAGCTCTTTAAAACTGGTAGAAGGTACACGCTATGGGGGTACCAACGTCCGATAAATACGGTATGTAACAGAATCTTGTAACAGCAATCATGATTGAAAACAACCTTTGCCACATATCATGCATACAGAATGTTTTACAGTAACTCAAAAAAAAAAAAAAATCAAATAGATGGGTGGTACGAATGCGTCACCCATCCATATATAATTATATTTTATAATATTGTAATAAGTGGTAAAACCTTAAACACTAATTTCTTCGCTTTTCTTTGTATTACATTATTTAATTTTCTAATAGACTATCTTTGTATCACTGATAAGCTATGATCAATACTGTAATAAGGCTGATATAAGATTTAAATGGCTAACCAATTATTAAAAAAGCTGTCATTTACTTGCTTGGTTTATTATTTGCAGATCGTTTGGTTATATTTATCACCTGGACGGGGCTTCACGTTTGAAAAAAATCATGGGACTTCATCCAATTTTAATTATAACAGGGATAAAATTATGCCATGTATAAATACAGTAACTCTAAAAGGTTACGTTAGGATTCCTTATATAAGGATTTGTTAGAGTCAGGTAGTTCTTATGAATAAATATTAGAGATTATAAGGTTTAACGAATCCTTTTATAAAAAAATTATGACGTGCCATTTGTTTTTCCTTTTATTTTATGAAGGTCTTCATATGACATTGGTAAGAAATTCTTTAACAAATTTGGTAGAGCAGGTCATTAGTACAAGATGCAATCTTATTTGGCGTACCAATAAAGCTCATATGAACGATTATAAAGCAAAGGCGTCAATATGCTTACAATAAATAATTACTGCATGTGACAAGTAGTAATTTTGTATCTTGAATTTGCAAAATAAGCTTGCCCGAAGTTTATCATTACTAACTCTTGTTAATTAAATTAGAACTCCATGAAAATGAGAATGTATACTTGCGATGAGATTGATCTAATTATCTGACATGGTTTAAGAAATTGTGAACGAAGCAATTTATTTAATTTGATACGAAAACGAGAATGTGTACTTGCGATGAGAGTGATCTAATTATCTGAAATGGTTTAAGAAATTGTGAACGAAGCAATTTATTTAATTTGATACGAAAACGAGATTAAAGTCAGGGCAATAAGAAATAGGGTACTTCAATTTTTAAGTTATTGTTTTTGTATATAATTTATTTTGAGTAAAATTTCTGTGTAGAATTAGGAGGTTGTTTAAATTAAAAAGAGCATTAATTTGATATTTGATATTAATACTTGTAATTTATATTTCTTCTCAGTGAGATCCGCAACAGCATTTGGGAGTCACATTAATCTACTTCTGTAGATCCGACTAATTAATACAGGGAGCGTAAATTAACCTTGAAATAAGATTTTGATGCAAACGAAAATTTATATTTCACGTGTATTTAAATATCTAATTAATACAAAATTATTTCTTTTTAAGCATGCATATATAATCGAGATCTATATCTTCATCTAAAATATTACGCCAGATGCACTTGATCAGAATGATGGTAAGTTTATTATAATCATGGGCCTGTTTATTGTAGAAGATACAACTTCGTTATTTACAAAAAAACAATATCACATAACTTAAATAATATCTTTGCTCTAGATGCACGACTTAGACAAGATATACTTTTTTGATCAACAGTTCTTATTTACATTCCATGAGGTTCTGGCATTATAAAAATGAAAACAGTTATGAGACTGGGGCAGAAATGTAGGCGAATGATTGCCGTAGCTAGTTACGACATAAGCTTTAGCTAGTTACGACATAAGCTTTAGCTAGTTGCGGTTTAAGCCGTAACATTATTTACATCATTTGGAAGATTTGCCTGCACATCTAGACTGGAGTAAATAAAGTTTTATGACTTAGCAGATTTAGATGAAACTAGTGATTTCCCAAAATAATAATGCTAGCAAAATGATTATGTCAGAAGGAATAATTATATGCTATATATATCATCTATTAAATTTATTATTTCTAGATCGTGGCTTAGTCTAGTCAGCGGAGGTATGCCAGATTTTGACAGAATTCATTTTTCTTACAATATGTTTAATTAATAATAATTGATTATGCAACGTATCAAAAGAATACAATAAACAGATTTTATATTAGAATGTATTATTAATAAAAGTGTAAATTATTCTATCCATAATTTTGAATTGCAATTCATATACTATTTGGAAAATGGCAAAAAAAAATGACGATAATGATGAAAATAATGAAATGTAAATGCGAGAATAAGTTAAAAAAAGGGATATGCGGTGACAGTCCTAAAATCGGTGAGTCTGTTGCTAGGACTAAAGTAACTTCGCGTAACCAAAGTTTAGGCTAAGTTGGGTCGAAAAAGGAGTGTTAGATTTGGCGAATGTTTAATGAATGAATTCATTGTAGTTTATTATATGTGAATTAGGTATTTTATTATTAGGTAAAGCGGGAACTTGTTTCTCCCGGAGGGCCAGAAGGCCTTTATTTATAATTGTTAATTCAGCTATTTACATTCGCAGGAATCATCTAGATCTTTAAAATCACCAATAAACCCCATATCGGGCTTATAGCCAGTATTACTAAGATCCGCTAATTCACCTAATCCTCTGGATCTGGCGGTTCTGACATATCAGGGATATCTACCATATCTTGTCGATCGGGAAAATCTAGCCGGTAAGCCCAAATTTGGACTTCCCGTGGTCACATGCCTGCCGTCAGGTCACGTTTTCGGTCTCACAACGGTAAAAATGAAGATCTGCTCTAGCCATGTAAGAAAAGATTTGAATCGGATCTTAGCAAACCAAGCTTAATAGAGAGGGGTTTTAAAAATAACAAACTCTGTCTAACATTCATTAACGCACTTCATATAATGTTAAAATGCCACGTTATGACTCATCATACCGTAAATTCTCGAAATAGCGAGCACATAGGCGTTATTTCGAGATAAAGTATTAATTCTGCAATTCGATCGTTGCTAAAGTTATAAACAGGTCGAATGAATAAGCATCAGGTAAATATGGATACAAGCCTTTTGATATGCTACCAATATGCTATATTTAGCGGCAAATGAGGTGAATATCGGGAGTTTTGAATTCTGATACTTGCTCTTCGAGGTGCGCGCTATTTCAGGACGCGCATGGGCGTTATTTCGAAACTACCTATGCTATTTTTAGGGGCGCAATTTTAGAAATAATGCTATTTTGAGAACTTACGGTAGCAATATTTTGATTGTTCGAAATATATTGTGAGCATATTAAAATAATAGTTCACGACTTAAAATAGCCATTTTCATAGTAGCATAATAGATCAAAAATATTTAAATAGTCCGTTTATTTCGATAGAATTAATCAAACTCTTAACTAGATTTTAGTTGTCAAAAAGATTACACCTACTATGCTGTCTAAATAATTTGGATTTATTTATTTTATTTTATTTAATTTTATTTTATTTTTGTAAAATCCAGTAGTAACACAAATTTTTTTTGAATATTTTGATGTTGTACATTATGGGACGTCATAAAACGTTATTTATTGGTCATGTTTAAATTTGTGTATTGTTACATAATGATTAAACACGTAATTGTTAAATTTACAAATTTCGATAAAAAAATTTTTCTCCATTGTTAAACACAGAATTTTAAAACAACAGTAACTTCTTTATGTTCGATTTATAAGCATAAGGTTACGTTTCGTTTTTTAAACTAATTATTAATTAAATCCTGATTTATAGTCTTACATCAGAGATAATACGTTTCAGTGAAATATTAACGCAAAATTCTCCCTGAAGATTGTATTTATACATGATTCTCTTAGTGCATTACATTCTGCCTATAATTTTGGTGTTGTTATACAACCGATTTTTTAGCTTACAAATCAAATCAATAAACTTTTATCGTTATATATAATATGTATCGGATCGATTATTGGTAACGTCATATTATATAATACTTAAATTTTGTATTTTTTAAAAAAAATATACCCGGTTGCTATATAACGATTGTGGGGTCTTTATAATTGTTAAATCTTAAATGCAAAGTATAAATGATCATTAAAAAATGACACGTACCGTACAGCATGGACTAAAAGACCCTTTTATAATACCCCTCATGATTTTCGGAGGCCTAGAATGTAAAGTACTCGGGTACTAAGGATGGATTAATTGCACTTGGGAATGTAAAATTCCCGGGTATTAAATATATAAAGTATTACTGCGGCACTCATATAGTGCATACCTAACGTTGATCATAGTATCTAATACCCACATATATAGCTTAAATTGTAAAGTACCCTGGGTATTAGTCCACACTGTACGATAATTTAAGTCCTTATGCGAAAGGGACTGTCTTACTGCCCACCATACAAACTTTATTTATATATATTACAGTGTTGCATAAAGGACGGTACCGAGACCTGTTAGACATTTAAAGAAATAATTTTTTCAATAAACTTTTGTACTCATAAATACGCAACCATATAAAAAATATAGATCAATTCGGACATTAGACTTTGAGCCAATGTTTTGAATCAATAGATATTAATATCCAGTTATGTAATCGTCCTTACAAACATAATTCTAAATAGATACGGCAACACAAATGGTTACTATCGTAACGCGTCTAATAACTTAAATAATTATTTATTATAGTACTGCAATTATGGAAGTCCATTGATCTTAAATAAATACGCTGTCTTCTTCAAATCATAGTTTTTTATTTTCAAGGAAACTATACTCCTTAAATTAAATTTGATCTTACATTTTCATTTAACGGTTAGAACATAACTTAATATTCAAGACTTAACTTAAAGTCAACAAAACATAACATTTTATGTATCTAACTGAAAGCCTACACACATATCCTTAATAAACTTAGAACTGAATGTAGAGCTTTTCTTTAAATATATGGGGTGAGTAAATAAAAATCAATAAAACTTTTGTAAATCAGACTTGACAAAAAATTTTAATAATTTTCGCAATTTTTTGCAAAATTAAAAAAATTTATCTGATTTTGTTAATTTTTATTAAGATATCCTTATTGACTTATTCCATATTTCCTCTTTTATTATTAAATCTAAAGAAAATCATTCTACCTAAATTGACACAATTATGAATCAAGCTACTAACGTTCAGCCACAAAATAATCACCACCAAAGGCTTCCAAATATTGGTGGATCCCAAAGAACTCAAGGGAATCAACATAATGCAAATCTATCCATCAATGCTACTGCCGTTCAACGTTATGATGAATTAGTTGAAGGAGGGAATCCATTTAGCGGATTACGAGGTTCAGAGATTCCACTACAAAACACTGAATTTCAAACTGTGTTGTTTTTGGGATTTTCTTTCACATGAGTTAAATTGAAAATAATATCATTTACGCATATAAGATCTTTTAAAATGAAATAGATATGGTTTTAACCATTACTTAAATATTCTAAATGCTAATATGTAAGAATGGATAAATACAGCTAGTTTTAGATTCCTGCTATTTTATTTAACCAATTTTCTTAAAAGTGTTTGATAAAGAAGGTTTAGAAATGAATTTAATTAATGATTAGGATTTTTTAATTTAAATATTAAAATATATGCATTAATTAAAGTTAATTAAGATTTTTAAAATTATATTTCGAATACATATCTTTCATATATAAATTTACTTAGAAATGATTTTGAAAACAGTGGTGTAAACGAAATTATTTCATTAAGCTTAAATATTTCAAACAAAACATAATAATGTTCGTTTTGCAAAAACTACGAAAGGGTAACTTTATTAGATTGGTTCAACATACATTTCCGCCGTAGTGGCTCGAGTTATTATTATCAAAAGTGGGATCCTTTCGAGATATTTTGCACAGCATCTTCATATTTATTATGGCAATTATGATCAAAAACTTATCGAATTAAAGATTGTTCATAGTGTAGGACAAACAGATATAAATAGGGTAAGAACCTTGTAACAAAAAATTACTCCATGGCCGAGCAATTTGTCAATTTCCGTTTATATGTACTTATTAACAAAAGTTTCTAATCTATTCAGCACTGATTTGTATTTAAAAAGCAATGATATAGAGCTTTTCATTTTCTTTCTGGAGGACCCGATACTATTAGTTATGCACCAAATGTTTTCGAAAAAAATTATGAGGAAATCAAGGATTTAATTTTGCATAAAAAATTTGGGGAAGATTGAAGAACAAGTACCCCAATGATATATTTGTGATAATCACTTCACCTGATTAAGTGTTCGGCCTACGTTAGGGTTAGTGTAGGGTTAGGTGATAGGTTAATTTAGGCTAATTTGTTTAGTGCTAGTAAACAAATGACGTATTGTATGATTTCACGTGATGTGATGATCACTGGGGTACTTGTTCTTCAAGTGTCCCAAAATTTGTACCATCTCCACCAAGAAAATCTGGCAATGCACAAGTTAATTTGCCAGAAGAATATCCGCCAAAAGATGGACATGAAAATAACCGTCAACTTAACGTAATTGCAAGATCAATCTTGATTCATAAAGACTTAGTACTTTTATGGAAAGAAATCGGCTACTTTGAAATATGTGAGGACGTTAATGATCTCGTAATGTAAGGAGCGCATTTAATTTTATTTCCATCTGTGCAACCTCCTAAATGGACTAAACCTGATTGTCCGGAGCGTAGCGGAGGACGCTCAATTTATATGCAAAGTGATGCAAAAGTTATGATTTTGATGTTTCAGAAGTATCGTTCTTGATGCTTCTATAGTGAAAATATCAAAAGCGTAACTTTGAATTTTCTGTCTGTCTCCACCAGTGTTGGAAATCATATGTTCTCATGTTCTCATGAGAACATCCTTTTAGATTTGAGAACATGATGCTGAAAAAGCATGTTCTCTAAGTATAACAGCAAAATTCCAGATGGAAATAGAAATTCTGAATTTATCCGAAAGGAAAATGAATGAACATAAAATACGAGAAGGGTTGGGATAAAAATTAGAACAAATGTCCGATAATTTCCGAAAATAGGGATATCAATAATTTTAGCAATTAAAGTTGAGAACATAAATAAAATTTTGAGAACACTAAATCAAATAAATATGTTCTCATGAGAACATAAATTTCAAACCAGATTTCCAACACTGGTCTCCACTTGCATATTCGTGTAACGCAACAAATCCAATGTGATTTAGCTCCGGACTTATAACGGTTTCTGTTTCCTAGTATCTAAGCTGTAAGGCGCGACTTACTGAATTAATCGATTTAAATTTTCAATTAAATTATGGTATTTTTATCGATATTTCACCTTTTTAAAAGTCGGTTAGATGATATTGGGAAGAATTTAGTGGACTCATTTGCAGAAATTAAACAGGGATCATAAGATTGTCTCTTATGAAGATGTTTAGTTGAAACTCTAAATCTCAATAAATTAAAGAACTTGATGTAATGAATTTCTTAATCTCTATTCTAATAAGGTTGTAAGAAATTAAACTTCAGTTAACATCTTCCCTTTCCTTGTTCGACTGTTTCCAAAATCAATCAATCAATCAAAATGACAAGATTTTTATCGACCATGAAATTGGTGTGTTTGTTTAAAATTCATTGCTCACCCAAGCCAAATATATTGATTAACTAGCTAATTAACTCTGAGTATTTCTATTAAAATCTCTAGATAAACTTTAAATGATCGTAATAAATTTGATGCACTATAATAAGATCATTATCTTTATTTTTGATAATATTATTAATTTATATTTTTGTATTTCGTAACGATGCCCTGACATCTTCGGAGTGACTATTCGCTATTTTTGCATGAGTTCAATCGCTGGTCATAACAGATCATAGCATTGAAACCTAGCTTAACAGATTATGAGAGAATTATACTATAAGAATAGTGAGAGTGAAGCCTTAAAGCTTGAAATTTGAGATTCTAGTTGGTTACGATAATTTAGAAAATAGGTATCACCATATTCAAATTCTCGTTTCCCCACGCGTGTATATAGAATTGTTTTCCATATCTTTTTGAAAATATCTATAAATTATACACCTGTATTTGAAACTTTGACATCTCGTGCCAATGTGCAAGTCGTTTATTTACAAACTAGTTAAATAATAAGTTTATGTTTAACAATGAATTTTTATATTTCCATTGTTTCCGATGTTTCACAAACTCCTTTTGGATGTGTTATATGCACTAATGCAAATGCGTATAGTTTGAATGTATATAACAAAAATATTCCTATAAAAAGTTAAACAATTAAATAAGAAATTTTGTAAATATTTGGTACATTGATAAAAGCCATATTGAGTGCTGTCAATAGAAAACCTGTCATCGCGGCTTTTAATGTTCAGTTGGTCTGCAAGCCATCTATGGGCAATCTATTCTGATTATAGAGTGTCCATAGACGGCACGCAGAAAGCCAACTGAACATTGAAAGCACGATGAAAGGTTTCTATTGAAAGCACTCATATACTATATGGATATAGTTTCCGTTCAAACCTAACTAGTTTGGGACTTTGTGACTTTCTAGGGTATTAACCAATGATTTGAGACTAGTTAAAGCCGTGAAACTTGTCCCAAACTTATTGTATGAAACAAAATTTCAGATATAACCAATTTGGTTCAATAGCTATAACTATTTGGACAGCAACTATATATATGGACAATTTATAATGGCGATAATCAAAGACTTAAGTATACTTACAATAAAATTACTGCATACGACATAGAGTTAATACTTGGATCTGAATTTAACCATTTATATCCGGATTTAATCATTAGATCCAGATTTAGCATTAGATCCGTATATATTATGTAAAATCCGGATTTTAAATAGGCATATTTCCTCTACCCACTCACGAATCTGTTTCAGATATATAAGGTTATAAAAGATTAAATTCAGATCCAAGTATAAACTCTAATACGACAAATAGTAATTTTGTTTCATAAAAGATAGGAATTCGCAAAATAGGTTTGTCCGAGGTTTATCTTCACTAATATTGTTAACTAAATTTGAAACGTTAATGGCAATACGAAATAGGCACTTCAATTTTATTTTTTTTTTTATTGCATATACTTTATTTTGAATAAATTAACTGTGTATAATCGGGAGATTATTGAAATGGAAAGAGGGCATTAACTTAATATCTGCTATTAATATTTGTTCTAATATTTTCTTCCGCAACAACAATTAGGTGTCACCTTAATCTACTTCTGTAAGACTAGGAAGTCGTAAATTTACTTTCTGATAGATTATTTAATTAAATATTATATATTTTTAATTTAACTTGGAATAAGATTTCTGATGCAAATGAAAATTTATATTTCACTTGTATCTGTTGTACGTAAGTGGGTAAATTAGGGTTAGGGTTAGTGTACGGGTGTACAAATGATAAAATCAATCCAAAACCATGTTTTATATCCCGAATCCACCTAAATTCCTTTCCACTTACAAAATATGTTATACATATTTTGTTGTAATTGACAAAGATTGACCAGGAAATAGAGTTCATTATTTTCTTAAATTAGAATAAGTTTTATATATTATTTTCTTAAATTAGAATAAGCTTTATATAAAATTCATATATGCACATGAAAAATTTCTTATATGGATAGATTTACAATCTAGGGTTTTAAAATTACCGTAATTTTGTGTAATATTACGTGATTTGTGTAATTTGTGTAAGTTTCCGAAACCGTAATTTGATATCACGTGAATACTATAATGTGAATAATGTAGCCAATACCTGGTGCACCTTTGAATATAAAATTACAAGTATAAGTGGTGCCCTTGCAACTTTGATAAGGCTAAGTTTAAAATTCACATAGTTTTCAAAAAAATCAATACTCGTGCACAATTTCAAATTTATTAATTACAGTATATCGAATCAAATATGAATCTCGATATGATGTAATCTATATAAATAAATTAGGGTAAAAAAAGTTCAAATGCTTCGATTGAAAAGCGCAGGCATGATTGGTCATGCGGCTGGAAGAATATGGCTAGCCAAAAGGGCCAGAGATAAATTTAATTAAAGTCTGCAATGCATTACAAGATTTGAGCTGAACAATTAAATGAAACAATAATATGCTAGAAAAATTGGCAAATAAGATTGCGCCAGGAATCATCGTAACAGTAGAGTGAAAAGCAATTCTTGAATATGTGCCAGGTTAGTGGCGCATTAATCAGTCCAAATAATTTGCTCCAATTAAAAAATTCCAATGATAACAATAATAAAATTATAAATTTTAATAAAACGAAACCACCATTTTTTTAACGTTATTTCTCCGAATCATATAAAAGCACGTTTCCGTTCATTTATTTTCATAAAAGCACCTTTTACCCTCATTTTTTTTTATAATCTTAAGCTTCTAATATTATTGTTTTGAATTCAAAAATGCACGAATTCTTTACTTTTATAATGTTTACAAATTATAATTATCAAAAGTTTTACAGATCAGAACGCGTATAAGAAAAAATATTAACTTTAAATTATGATAATAAATTACAAATAAACACATACTATATAATTTATAGAAAAATTCCTTAAATGAAAAAAAAAACTTTCTCATAATCTGCGCAGAATCGTATCTTAAAAAAAGAATGATAGCAGTGTTCCTTAATATTAAAGATGGTTCACTTTTAAACTAAAATTTATAAGTTTTGTTAACCTTACATGCTTCCAAAATTATTGTAATATACTCTACTTACATATTAAGTACGGTCAACTCCCTTTATAATGGTACCTTTTTATAATGAATGAACTAAAAATTTTAAAAATTATATTATTTTTGATATGTCTACAATTCACCAATGAAATATAGAAACATTCAAAGTACAGGACGGGTGATGGAACACATGGTGGAAGTTTTCGTTGAAAAACAAAGCGCTGTATATACCGAGATCATTGTGGCTGGGTAATGCGTCATCAACCTGGCACACATTCAATAATTGCAGTGAGAAGCAGCATCAGCCATTGACGATGACTGTTCTAACGTTATCTATTTAGGTATGACATTCTGAATTAAAGTTACTTGCTGGTTACAGGATTGTGACATTCTAAATTAAAGTTACTGATTATTATTATTTCCGATTACGACATTCTGAATTCCTTCTAATTAGTCTTTTTTTTTATTACACAACTTATACAATTTTAACGTATTATTCTAATCTTTTAAAAGAAGACATTATAGCTAATAAAATATAACATTAGAAGCTATAATTTAGCTAATTAATCAGCCAATAGAGGTCTAGCCTTACTAAAATAGCGAAATTCTTTTTTTAATACCGAAAGATTACTATAATAGAAATTTTATTAGATATAGTACCACAGCTTTGAATATAAATAAACATACATATATGCTATAAGTGGGACTTAAATTTGAAGTATTTCATTTATATTTATTAACAGGTATACGTTAATTTTAGGCGTTAGTTGTGTTAGAGTCAGATTTAGGGTTTACTAATTTCTAAATTAATTACGAAATTCAAAATCCTATAGTTCACTTAATTCCAATCCCACTTATAGCTTATATTGCATATAAAAACATACCCGTTAACTTGAAGACAATCTAAGACATAACAAAGTTTCCAAGCTGTAATGGTAAGACCACAAAGCTTTATATGACTGATACTCTCACCTACTTCGTTAACCTCAATTTCTCGTTTGAAATGTACACTATTTTGAGAGTCAAATTTATATTCACACATATTATCATTATTTGTGAATGTTGGTGAAGCAGTACTACTAAATTCGATCTCAAGTTTAACTTCAGACATTAGTTTATTATAATCAACGACAGTCTGTTTTTCAGTCTTCTTTTGTACGCACACTTTAGATTCATGATGAAGATCATAATCATAACTTCTTGTATTCCTTGTATTATTAAAATGAATAAATGCTTCATAATTATACATAACTGAACTGGAGTAGTAATCTACAGGTTTTAATGTGAAAGTAAAAGTCTCGGTACGATCATCATAAATTGGTGGCAAATTTTCAGACCATTCAATTTCGTTCCAATCAAACTAATTTTAAAGATGATTTATATCAATTAATTTATTATTATTAAAAAAAAGAAAAAGTATATATATATATATATGTTTATACATATATTCACCTCAAGTATTAAACCAGAGTTTAACCTGGATATAACAGCTTCGTGCATGATTAAAGGAACGAATATGTTCCACTTTTTGCAAACAGCTCGAAGAGCACAGAAAAACTCAAAGCTAATTATAATTCATTGAAATAAATAAGATGTCATCTAAAGCATTTATTATTAAGGTTTAATAAACTTACTTTGTTTTAGTGACTACATAAGTAAAATTAACAAGCCTATTTCATATATAATGTTATTATAATCTATCATTTATTTTCCTCAGATTACCATTATGAAATTCTATATTAAAAAATTTAAATTAAAAAAAAATATGGATATTATAATTATGATTTATATCATTTAGCGCACCTGCATTGTGACGCACATCATAAGATCTTGTGTAACATGAAATCAAAACAATAAATTAATTCGTTAGTTTAGGGTTAGGGTGAGGGTTAGGTTAGGGTTAGGTTAGAGTGCTTTATCAAAAGGTTCTAACCCAAAATTTCGCAAGGAATTTTTTTTGTTAGAATACAAAAGGTAGTTTCATAATCAAAAATTTGAGCTACAAGCGATTTTTTAGAAACATCGCTATTTTTTTCGATTTCACGTTACACCTGATCCTACGATCTGATTGGTTGATCAGATGGGTGCGTTATTGCGCAGGTGCGTTAAATTATAATAGTCTATAATTATTATAAACATTTATAAAATTACTAACCCAGATTGTTAATATAATTTACAACTTTAAGGGTAGGGCCTATCTTCAAACTGCATTCTCTTAATTCAGCCATTCTTAGTCTTAAAAAAGTGCCTAGAGTAATCTCATCTTTTTGTAATCTTGTATAAAATTTTTCACTATATTTAGATCCCTAAATACTTCATTATTTTTAAGGAATTCTACAAGTGCCCAAGTGTTATCTCTAATTTGTACTTTGTTAGAGGTTTTTCTTTTCTCTTGACACTTTGATTTTTAGCATTTGTCAAAGAATGCACTCCATTTTTGTAGAACTATTATTAGATAGTGATGATTTCTAAAAGTATAGTATAACACTACTATCTTTATCGAATTACCAGTTTAAATGAATAATTATACATGCATGTTTAACTGATTTATTGAATATTTGTGACTTTTCCATGAATTCGTTTTCATATTGTTCAATTATAAACATTGCTAATCTGATACATCCTGCCTTTATGGTTAAGGGATCACACTGCAAAATATATAAATCATTCTCTGATCTATAAAAACATCTAATTTGACTTCGGAGCTTGGTCTCAGATTTGAAAGTTGAAAGTTTGTCTATTTGACAATTTATAATGCCTTGTATACACAATTTAATATCAGTGTTGATATTAGAAAAGGTGTTTATAATTATTAGATGTTTTTCTGAATTATTATTTAATAAGAATTGATAAAAATCTCGAATTATTATGTCGTTTATCCTGGGAGTAAAAGTCCTGCCAATACTTCACTTCTTGCACATCACTTATTTTTAAATATGATTTATCAGCTCTTATGATACTATCTGAAGTAGCAATTGAAATCAAGGCTTCTTTGCAAGCATGAATAATCGCACCATCACTAAGATCAGGATTTTTTCGCACTGGTCAATAACCAAACTTTGTAAAGTTTCTTCTGAAGAGAAACCAATGCTATAAATTCCTCTAATATGATTCCCAAGCAAGCGTTTAGCGGTGTCAATCATTATTATTGCTCGTTGTGTGCCCCTTCCTCGCACACAACCATCGTGACCAACCTTTGTACCTACAGTCACGTCCTTTTATGCAAACGATGTAATACAGTATGGGATAAGGTCGCAGAACAAGCCGCAGGACGTCACGTGAGCAGATCTTTTTGAGCATCGTACTTTTTTCTTTTTTCGCAGAAAGTCCAATGGCTTTGTAACAATGTATCTCAGTGAATCAATTCTTGAAAATGGATTGATCCAAGTTCTGAAGCGATACTATATGACATCTTCAATTTATCTTTCCATTCTATCTGTGCTATATCTCTTGATATTCCATAACATTCTAAAAATGACAGATTTTCGTATCCGATATCGCAGTATGTTTTCAACTCTTCGACAAATTCTTGATTGCTTTTATTTGAACCGTGAATTAATTTAAGTGCAATTGATGCCAAAGCTTCTTTAGCTCGTTGTATATCTCTCAGTACTCTGACTCCATTTCGGTCACAGTCACCAACTTCTAAAATTGCACAAACGTGACCCATATCAGCAGCTTTTTTTTTTCAAATGCTTTCTTTTCATCCTTTTTGACTCCAATTTCATCAAGATAACAACGTCCAACCATATTTGTTTCACTAGTGTGTCTCATCTCTGCAGATACTTGATAATAAATGAATGCTTTATGTTCATCCATTTCAACTCCAATTCCTTTCGAGGGAGTATGGGACACAGCCGGATTTGAAACTTGCGAATTTATAATAATCTACGTACGGACCCAACAACTGTTACTTCATATCAGAACAGAAGTATATTCCATTTTCATAGCAATATCCAACCATATATGTTCCTTTTCTTTAGCATTTTACATATCAGCAGAATGCTGGCAATAAACAAAATGCCTTGTGTTCATCTTTTTTAACTCCAATTTCATTTTGATAACAGACACCGATGGCTTTTATTACCCATATCTGCAGATTTTCGATAATAAATGAATGCTTATGTTGATCCTTTTCAACTCCAATTCCTTTTTCATAACATAATACATTCTGTCAGTATTTCCCATTATTATTGTCACGTTCTTGCAAAGTACATCCGCTAATGCTTTTTCTACTTCGGATCCACAATAATTATCACCAAGACTATTTTTATCAAGATTCAGGGAGGTCAACATAGTGGTCTTGCGAAATGCATCAGCTATTCTTCTGGTTCCAGAAAATTATCGCGAAGATCAAATTCTTTAGCGTGGTGTTTGAGCAAGGAACCTTGACCAACAGCTTCACTTGATCCTAAAAATTTCCATTATTACAAAAAGCTAAAGAATTGATGACAGTGTTTTTGCTAGTTCGCAGAAACATAGTAATTAAGGAACATTTAACGGCATTTTCAAGTTCAAGACCAATTTCGCATCTCGCCTAAGAAAGCCATATCAGTGAAGCTTCAATTTTGCGATCTGGTTAGCTCCACAATATCGGTATAATAATTCTACACCAATGCCGGTTTACATGCCGAAAATTATCCAATATGATATAGTTAAAAATTTTTTAAAGACTCGGAAATTTTTCTTGCTAAAAAACTGGCTTGTTCTTGCGACAAACAGCCCAAATAATGAGTCCAGGTATTTGGGATTCCACGCTAATCCATTGTTGCAAATTAGTTAAACAAATCTTTTACGAAAAGTTGGTGAACATACATCATAAAGATCTTTGGTAATAGATTTAAAATGTTGTTCAAATTCGTATGGATTATTAAAATCGACATTTTTGCTAATATAATTATCGCACATGAAGTCACTGATCTCACAATCAATACTTTCTTTTCCAATAAATTTGTTAATTATAAAATCACATGAACTCATCCCAAAAAAAGAAATTGTGATAAGTGTCTATATATGTATTTTATAAATGTTGGTATTAAAAGTTTATATTTCGATATTATTAATATGGTATTAAAATACATACCTTTATAATTTTATGGTAAATTAATGGATTAGCGGCTTTATTAATTTTATCGACATATGGCTTTACGTTCTTTTGGAGTAAATTATAAAAATTCTGTATCTCATTATCATTCTCATAATCATGCCTTACAATATGAGATAAGAAAGTATAGTTCGAATCAAGAATCGATGCAACAGAAAACATTTTCATCCAATCAAATGAATAGCGTTTTGATGAATTATGACGAACTAAAGTTGAAGTTAGAAAAGTAAATGGCCTTTTAGCGCTTGTTGGTAGCAAATTGTCTGCTTGAACTTCCAGTAACACTTGTAATAAATTGGCCGAAGGAAAATTTCCATGTAAATATATTAAGGTATAAGTTTGCTTCTGAATAGTCTCAATATGATAAGCCAACATAACGCAGGCAAAGATCTTCTGATAATTATTAATTGCATTTGAAAAATGTCTGAAAATTGAATCTATACCAATATCTCGAACAGTTAGCGCATTATGATGTTTCAAAATCATTTGAAATTCCATAACTTTTTTCGTGAAATTTTCTAAAGTTACAGATTCATATATCACACTAACAAATCTAAAGTCATTATCAAGATTTGGACTATAAAGCTTCATAATATGGTTTGCTTTCCATACATCATATTAATTTTCTTCATATGATAATTCACGGCCGTAATCACCTTCCATTACAATTGTTTGATCGCCATTCAAGGTGTAAAACGCTTCAGAAATCCAGATTTGATGTTCTTGCGGTTTGTAAAATGCATATTTGTACTGTACTTAGGCAGCTCATCACTTACATGAAGTTTGACGGGATCAGAAACCCAATATGTAGACTCGGAATCAGTTTGATGCAATTTCACAACTGGCATTTTCCAATTTCCTAACTCTTTAATACTGCCAACCACCAAAGGACGCATAGATTTATCAAAGTTTTTTGGCAGATGAACATGAAAGGTAACAAAAATCTCACGACTATTACCATCGTCATCATTGTAACTCATGATAATTTATTTATGCTACTTGTTAGTTCAATAAATAATTATATGCTATATTTAAATTTCGTTAACAGAAGAAAGAGAATGCTTTTATTTGCATGTTAAAAAAAAAAGACTCAATAATAATCTTATTTTCTCAAAAAATATACCCTTGTAAATAAATATATATGACTATTATGAAGATAATTAAAATTCGAATAATTAATATTAAACTCAGATTAAAAATTAAGACTATAAAAATATATAGAGATAATTTATTCAACGCATATGCGATGTTGTCACCTTATAAGATCAGGTGTAATGTAAATCAAATTTTATATAATTAGGGTTAGCGTTAGGTTAGTGTTAGATAGAGATTGAAATCGGTCAAATTTTTCATGATCGATCATTGATCGAACATGGGCAAGACAAATCAATCTATGATCGATTATGTGCTTTGATTGGTCAAAATCATTTGATCGGTCAAAATAGTTTGATCAGTCAAAATTGTTTGATCGATTATAATCGATTATGTATTTTGATCAGTCGATATACTTAATCGGTCAAATTGTCAAATCAGTTATAATTTATGACTGATCATACAGTATTAATATCGAAGCTTAGCTGACTACATATCAGTATAGGTTTATCAGTTGGCTAATTATAATAATACTAATGCCATGTATCAAGATAAGGACCTCCTTAATTATTAATAATAATGATTTTGATTGGATTATTAACTAATAGCGACTCAATAATATATGGCACAGCTAATTAGCTCAGGATATTAAAAAAATGAAAGTTGCGTCAATATTTTCTCAAATAATTAGATATTTGCAAACTAAACATTTAATAAATCCGTTGGTAGTTTATCTATGGTAATTTGTCATATCGATATTATTAGCTATAATCGAAGTTATTACACAATTATTATTCTTATTTATTCATATATGTACAGTACATATGAAGTAATTTATCAGCAATTACATCAAAATAATGTGACGGCATAATTATGTAATTTGTTTATTTCTAATTAGCATTTAACTTATTATTAACTAAGGTAAGTAAGGGTATTTTGACGAATAGGGGTATTTTGATGAATTAAGAAATAATAACTAATATAACGTGATACAAGGGTCAAACCTAAATGATTCTTTTACTATTCGATTCGTCTCACTAAGATGAATCGAATGGTACAAAAATCACGTAATTTTGCTTAGTGTAACATGAGATAACATTATTTAAATTCTTTTTTTTTTGAAAATTCATATAAACGTTGATTGTGGCACATTTTAAACAAGTTTTTTTTTATAATAAACCTGTCATAATTTATTAATTAAAGTTGTTCGTAGTGTTAATTTATATGTATCTTTAAATTTTGGCACAAACGGGAAAATTTTTTATTAGTAAAATAAATAAAAACTATTAACATATAGCGATGAGTATATTTTGATGAACAGCAATTTGACGAATATTTTGACAGGCACGTTAACTTTTAAAAACAACAAATGTTTCGCGCTATACAGTATAATCACAATACTGTATTCATCATCTCTTTATAACAGATAAAGATAACTTGAATAATAATTAAATCAACATTATAATAATTGCATTAACGCGTAAACTTATTATATTACCTTAATCATATTAGTTCCTCAGTTTGACTTATATCGTTTGTAATATGTACCAAGTTATTTTATTACTCAAATAAAGTTATTGCATTTTAAAATTATATTCTCATAATATTTTATTAAATAAAGAACATGCCACAAGTTTCTTATATTAATCGGCGTGATACAATTTGTGCAGCGCTTCGAGAACTCGAAAATTATATACCAGGTTCAAAACCCCCAAGTGTAAATAGGGTGGCAAATGATTTTGGGATTTCAGAAGCCACCCTTTGACGTGCAGTTAAAAATGGTGGACCTTTGAACCGTCAAGGTCCACCCTCTATTCTTACTAACCATGAAGAGGAGCAGCTTGTCAGCTATTGCATTAATATGCAAAAGCTTGGGTTCAGGTTAACTAAGTCTGGAGTTAACCATTGTGTAATGGAAATCATGCATTAAAATAAATGGCCACACCCATTTAGTGAAAAAGGGCCAGGTCAAGATTGGTGGGCTCGTTTTATGAAAAATCACCCTGAGTTGTCATTTCATACTCCCCAAGAATTATCCAAAGCCCGTGCACAAAGTGCCAATGCAACGATTGTTAGAGATCATTTTGAAAAGCTTAAACAAATAATTTATAAAAATTCACTTACCGCTCTGCAAATATGGAATATGGATGAGACTGGGTTTATCCTTTCATCTAAGTTGAAAAAGGTAATTGCAAAAAAAGGTGCCCGACAAGTTCACAAAGTTGCGCATGGGACTTCACATGAACATATTTCAGTTGTATCAACCATATCAGCCGCTAGAATGTGCATTCCACCATTGCTCATTTATAAAAGTGTTCGTGCAATTTCTAGCCTATTGGAAGGTGCACCTTCTGGAACTGTAATGGGCTTCACAAACTCAGGGTACATGCGTGAAGATCTATTTCAAATGTACCTAAATCATTTTGTTAGTTCAATCCCACCCACCTGCCCAATATTATTAATACTCGATGGTCACAAAAGCCATGTGAGCTACACAAGTATTGATTTTTGTTCAAGAAATGATATTCTTCTTTATGCATTTCCACCTCACACAACACACGTTCTACAACTATGTGAAATTCCATTTGCAAACCTAAAAGGGCAATATAAAAAAGAAAGCGATAAATACCATAATACTACCCAAAAACTAGTAAACAAATATACTTTTGCAAAAGTATTTGGACCTGCATTTATTGAAACATACACACCATCCGCTATTTGTAATTCTTTTAAGGGCACAGGAATATGGCCCTTTAATCCTGACACCATTAGCCCAGATCGTTTAACCCTTCATTAGCAACAGAATGATTTGATATTGTTGCACTCTTACATAGTCAATCTTCTTAACAGCCAACTAAACCTTCTTTATTACCACAATCATCTAGTTGTAATAAGCCAAATAATTTTTATTCTACCCGCTCAAATGTCACTCAGTTAAATAAAGAAAATGGGTTATTTAAGAATGAAAATAAATTACTAAAAGACCAACTTGCACTTACAAAAGAAGAGTTAGAAACTTACAGAAATCCTGGGACATTATCTTTGTGTTCAGTTTTTAAATATACAATCTCTCATACCCCACGATCTGAAATTTCAGAAACTTCATCAGAAAACCTTTCTGAATCTGTGATACCCGCCCCAAAAAGGAGAAAGACACTTTCTTTTGCACGGCTCCTTACCAATGAAGAAAGTTTACAATGCCTAAAAGAGGCTAATGAGGAGGCTGAAAGGAAGATTGCAGAGAAAAATAAGAAGAAGGAAGCAGCAGCCCAAAAAAAGGCTGCATGGCAGTTAGATCAAGCACAGAAAAAGGAAAAGCAGGAACAAAAAAAAAAAGAACAAGAACAAAAAAAAAAGAACAGGAACAAAAAAAAGAAAAATGAGACGAAAAAAACAAGAAAAAGAAAAGCATCAACAACACAAACAATAGTAAAGAGTAAAAAGGGTATAAAAAAAATAAAATAAAATTGGATTCGTCAAAATACCACCCCCCCCCCCCCCCCCGAAGATCGAATTTCTTGTAGGCTAGATTGCTATGATCATTGTTGCCCCAAAATAGGTTGTAATACTCTTATTTTATAATCGAATTTATTCTAAATTAAGCATAGATTATGAACATACATATATAATTTTTTTTTCTTATTAAAAATAAAGAGTTTAAATATAATCAACCTTAACTTCGTCAAAATACCCTTACTTATCTTAGGTTGCATAATAGTTGCAAATATGTAGCATTGTATTACTTTGTTCTTATTCTTTGGAACCCGCAGACAAATAATTCTAAACTGCAATAAAACTGTATTATTTTATTTATTGACTCAAAAATATCATTTTGCTAACTAAGTATTATAGTTATACAACTAACCACTATACAGCCTGTCAGTAATCCATTCCTTAATTAATATTCAGAAACATTGTTTTGTATCGTTCTTGGTTTGTATGACAAAAAACCAATTTACTAAATGTTTGTGGTGATAATTGAGTTCTTTTTTTAGTTATTACATTTCTGCATTGAGAAAAAAGACGTTCACAGGAAACTGAAGTTGATGGAATTGCAAGAAATTTTCATGCAATACTTGCTGCTTTTGGAAGCGAATTTTTATAATCTGCCCACCACTGTAAGGGATTGTCTAAAGGTCCAATCATTTCCAATATAAGATATTGATCAACCTCATTTTTACATGTTGCATTTTGTTAAACTGTTATAAAACTATTGATATTAACGATCCAGATAAGTCGAGTGTTGCATTACTTGATGATGATTCAAGACCTTCGTCACTTATAATTTGATCATATTCTAACCTAAGATAATCTTGACAC